CCCCATGCCCTGCATGGGCCTGAATTCCCGCCCCACTGGGCGCGCATCTACACATGCTTCCCACAGCACGGTACTTGCTTTAGGAAGTACTAAATGACAGTGCAGTAACAGCCATTACTGCACTATCCCAGCAGTGCATGATTATTTTTAGCAGCTATGTCACTGTAGCAACGCACTACAATGAGGTAGCTCATCGCTAGTGCTGTAGCGTTGGCATCATGGTTTGGGCCCGCCAACACTGGTTTGCCATAGCGACGAACTACAGTGACATAGCATCTCTTGTGTACAGCCCTAACTCACCCTCAACTTCCTACACTGCACCACATGGCCCAGTGGCAGCTGGAGGAGAGAGGGGGAGCCCATAGCCCCTGACTACTGTTGCAGCCAAAACAGTAAGGGAAGTGGCAGCTGGATGAGTGCCTAGAGGCTGCAAATTAACCCATTGCAGGCCCCATGCATGCTATGGGCTGCCAATCAGACAGCCCTGATTCAGAAGGTGACTAAGTTGAAACTAACTGAGGTGTTTCACAAATCCAGCTTGAGAACTCCGTCCCTCTTCTTCCCTCCCTCCTCCTGTTCTCAGAGCACCCACAGTGGTGCTACAGAATTGGCCCCTGCTTCCTTGGACACGAGTCTGGTTTGTTTCTGCAGCCTCAGTCTCTGGGAAATGGCAGACTTCCTAAAGCAGCAGGGCGTCATCAATGCTGTCAATCTGGACGGTGGAGGCTCCGCCACACTGGTCCTGAATGGAACCCTTGCGAGTTACCCTTCGGATCACTGGTAAGTGCCAGGTGACAGAAGATGGCAAGGATACCTCAGATTCCCAGTTCGGTGCCCAAGGAGCTCTCATCTGGCTAGGCAAGAGCTTTGTGGGAATAATTCTGGGGAGTTGGGGCCAAATTAAATCCTAGCATGACCAGATTTGGTTTCCTAGGGTTTCCATCTGCTTAGCAGAGATTAATCTGATCCCTAGCATCTGTGTATACTAATGCAGGGTCAGCATCACTTTTGGACTTGAGAACTCCTGAGAACTGTGCAGAGACTGCACAGAAGTACCTTGCTGTTTAGGTATAAGATACCAGAACTGATATCAAGCATGCAATAGCTAGACTGCCAAGTAACATGGCTTTGAATCCTGGTGGGGGCTCCCACCTTCTTGCTCTTTCCAAAGCAGGTAAACTGAGTGCCAAGTTATACAGAGTATCTCTTGGAGACCTCCCCATCTGCTCAGCAAACTGGTATTAAACCTAGCTGCCTCAGGTTACTATTAAACAAGGCCGATGCAAGACTCAGACATGATACTCTTCAAGTTACAAGAGACATCAGAGGCTTATCCACATTTTCATTTAGTTTCTTCTAGTCTCTACACAGCTTTTGTGTCCTCATCCCCCCACCCTTCATAAGGCCAGAAGGGATCAACAAGAAATTTAACAGTGGAGAATAAACACTCATTTTTGAGATTAGAAATTATGACAGCCTGATTTAAAGCCTCCCCTTATTATAATAGTACTGAAGTCACTCAGAATAGTACAAACAAACATATCCAAACAAGTTTGGATTTTGCTGCTAATTTTTTAAAAGTCAAACCCCTGAGCTAATGAAATCATTGGCCATTGGCCATACATGGAACCAGTTTGCTTTAGTGCTGAATGAGGTTTTGACAGCAGCAGCCTTTTTTGTAGGTGCAAAAATTTTTCATGGAGGTTTCAATTCATTCTCCTAGCTCTGTTGGTTGACTGGGTAGTAGGCCCGTGCAAAGTGACTAGTATACACTTCAGATTCAGATTCGGCCAATTTGGGAGACAGTGATACGATTCAGTGATTCGAATCACTGTTCCGAATCAATTCGGTCGAATTTGATTTGGAAATTTGGCTGCTACCAAATCAGCTGAATCTCTGAATCACGCAGGCCCCGTTCCTCGCCTGCCCCAGTTCCCCACTCTTTGAAAAAAAAAAAGCCCTGACTCAGCTGCTGCTGCCGGGGGGGGGACGGATGACGATCCCTGCTGCCCCCCACTGCCCCATGCTGCATGGGAGGCTCTTCAGGAGCCCCCTGACTCCTGCTCGCTCTCCCAGCTGCCTCCATGGCTGCCCTACCCGCCCCAGCTCCGGCCCTTTAAAAAAAAACCCCCAAAACAACTCGGCCTCACTGGCTTCTGCCTGGCAGTGGGGAGCAATCCCCACTGCCCCATGCCATGTTGGGGGGGCTCTGCACAAGCCCCCCAAAGCCCTGAGGCCACTGCAGGAACCAGAAAGTCTGGGATTTGGGGGTGGGGGAGGGGTTCTTAAAGGGCCAGAGCTGGGTTGGGTGGGGTAGTGGGGGCTTTTTTTTAAAGCACTGGGAGCTGGGCCAGGTGGGGCAGCCATTGCGGGGCTGGGGGAACAGATATGTTGGGAGGGCTGGGGGAGTAGGCAGGGAATGGGGCCTGGCAGAGGTCCCCCCATGGTCCCCTTGACCCTCCTCCAGTCCCCTACTTACCACCTTGGAGTCCAGGTCCAGCTTCCTGCTGCATTCGGCGGGGACTGCCCAAATTGCTGAAGCTCTCCGAATCTTTTCCAGGTTGATTCAGAGAGCTTTGAATCGATTCAGACCTTTTAATTGGTTCCCTGATTCAATTCGGATTCGGAGATTTGGCCACCAAATCGGGCTGAATCTCCTTTGAATCAAATCAGCACCCAAAGCTTCACACAGCCCTACGATTCATGTAGAGTGGTGCATCTGGCAGTCGAGAAGCCAGAAAGGCTGGTAACCTTTTGCATTCTACAAATTAAACTAAGGTACAAGTCGGATAACAAAAACTATCTCGGAGTTCTGAAGTTTAGAAGGACATGGTCGTGGTCTAGAGCAATCAGTTCTATTCACTTATTGAAGAAAATACTCCAGGTTTGCATTAAACATTTTGATAAAAACCTTACATAGAAAAAAAATCCAGTGCAATTAATATCCTCTTATAATGATTTTACAGCACTGGCTTTGTATATTTAATTGACTCCTAGGTCTGCCCAAGTGTTGGTTGACTAAAATTAGGAGTTAAAAAATGTATGTTTAACTGTATGGTTATTTATAACTATGTATAGGTAGAGCATGTCCTCCTGAATAATACAAAATAGGTTCGTGCAAGGATTGTATTTAATTGAAAATCAACATGTTTAGTGGCTACCAACTAATGAGAGGGACTAAATGAAAGATACAGTTATTAAACATGATTAAAATAAACGTTTTCCTAGGCCCCTTGTACACAGTTTGGAAGACAGAGCCCTCACACTCCTGATCTTCCTCATGGAAACTGTTTTCTGTCCTCAGTTCCTTCAATGGCATGTGGCGTTGCCCTCGGGATGTCTCAACTGTCATGTGCATACATGAGCCTACCTGCGAGCCCCCAGACTGCAACAGCCACGGGCGCTGCGTCCTGGGAGAGTGCCAGTGCATTGGAAACTTCTGGAGAGGACCTAACTGCAGCCTCTTGGACTGCGGCCCTTCCAACTGCAGCCTGCATGGCATCTGTACTGAGTGTAAGCTATCATTGCTCAGGCAGATCATCATAGCTGATGGGCATATTGTAATGTGTTACACTAGTATTTTGTCATAAGGAAGGTAGGGGTAGCTGTTTTCGGCATTCTTTCTGATGATACAGGCCTGGTCATTGGGATAGAAAAATAATAAGTAGAAACCTACTCAAATCATGATTTTGCTGAAACTGTGAAAAACAGCATTGTCCACAATTGCCAGGTAAACCAGCAGTGGCCACAATTTCCTGTGAAGTCAACATCAACAGCAAAAAGCAGTAGTGATACAGATTTAATGAAGGCACCCTCTGCCAATCAAAAGCAAGCAGTGGGGAAAAAAAGCAGTAGTGCTATACCTGAGTGAAGGCACCCTCCACCAATCAAGCAACAAGGGGCGGGACTACCAGGAAGTACCCTCAAAATCAGCTCTACATGCTGCAAGTGAGCCACAGAAAAGCCATTGTCTTGCTGTGACTTGGGTAGCTCTCTAGTAATAGGTCACATCTGACACATTATCAAAGATAGAGATGAAGTGACCCCAGCAAGCATCATATTGTACAAGTCTCAGCTCCAAACCAACACCCATTTCCATGGACCACTCCTGCCTCTATGAAACACCTGAGCAGAGCTTGCTGGTTAAGAGTCACCAGAATCTCAGTGGTTAAAAGCCCACGACTTCCCAGTGAGCTCTATTCTTTTTGTCATCAGGCAGTCTAATAGTACAGGTACATTGTGGTCCTTTCCAGACTATAAAGTCAAGGGCTTGACTGCATGCAAGTAGCCTCTCCAGCTCTTCACGTCACAATCTTTTCCCCAAAGAAAGTTGCTTCTCAACTAGGAGCTAACGTTTTTTATAGTATCTGCCACAAATGAGCTTAGCTGGTCTACTTCCTGACTGGTGAGTGGGTGCAGGCTGTGTGTTTTGACACTTGCCTTGCCTTCTGGGCTCATGGAATCTGTTCACCCCTCTAAGAGGTAGTAGTAAAGAGAAGGTTAAAACAGACTACCTTCAGGAAGAAGAAACATAGCCCAGTGCATGAGTCTCAGCAGACCTGGATCCTGGCTGTGCCCCAGACTGGCTGGAAGGTCAGTATGCTAGTTTCCCCCTGAGGATCATGATACCAACTTCCTTAGCAAAGGGTTTTCAGAATTGATGAAAAAAAGCACTGTTTAATAGGGAGGTTTAATGAATTGTCCCAGATTCAGGTGCTGAGTTACCTTACCTTGCACCCATGCGCTCTCCCTTCTTGCCTGGGCAGCTTCATTGGCTGTGATCACTGCAAGCTAAGGTAGATTGGCTGTGATCACTGCAAGAGAATTAGGGGGTAGACTTTCTTTCTTGTTAATTCAGAATCATTCTCTTAACATGCTGGATGGGCAGCACCCAGGAGGTGTCACTTCTGGAAGATATGTGTGATGGAAGTGGCTTCCTGGTTGGCAGTTTGAGGACCACTGTCCTGCAAGAGTTTGCATCTGAGAGGCTCCTGGGTTCTGGATTCCCTTGGGTTTGTATCCTGGGGAAGGCCCTGCGGTTGTGTGCCCCCCACCCAGGGTGATCTCAAATGAAAGCATGTTAGAGCTTACAACCAGTGCTGGCTTCTTAACCTCAAGCTACCCCTAACCTCTCAGTCTGTTTGTGATGCCTGATTTGTGGTTCCTTCTCATGCAGCTGGATGCCTCTGTGATGCTGGCTGGATAGGCAGCAACTGCAGTGAAGGTAACTCCTGTCTGTTATCAGTCTTGTTCTTAACAGCCAGTGAGGGGACTGCGTGATCTGCTATAGGAGTAAGCTGCCTGCCTGAGGCTGCAGCTGTGGGGAAAGGGATTTTGCTTATTGTGAATAGATCCTCAAGCCCACAAGGACAGTGATGGGAAGGCAGAAAACAGGTACAGAAGCCAGACTGTCCAGACTTCTCACCTGCTCCTTCTCAGTGACAAGTGGAGGCATAAAGGGCAGAGCCAAACCCCTCTCTCTTCCTCTCCCCTAGCATTCCCTGCTCCCCCATTGAAACCCTGGCAAGACAAGGTATGCCTCTCTAGCACAGGACACTAGCCCAGGGTTTTTTTCCTCTTTGCAAGGCCCTCAGCAGCAGCCTGGCTTACCTGGGCTGCTGCTGTGTTATGAGTCAGTAATTCTTGGCCAATCAGGGGAGGCACATCTCTGCATTCTTGTATAGTAAATTTAAGCAACCAGCAATAAAACCATGATGCGTCTGCACTTCTCTCTGCAGCTTGTGCCAGTGGCTTCTACGGGGATGGCTGTGCCCAGAGATGCCTCTGTCATAATGGTGGAGAGTGTGACCCAGTGCACGGATCCTGTACCTGCCCAGCAGGCTACCGCGGAGCCCTCTGTCAGCAAGGTGAAGGCTGCAATGAACAGCAGCATGTAGCATCTGAGGGGCTTTATATATCCCGTGCTGAGACTCTATTCTCAGCCAAAAGGGGATGTTCTCTTTGACCTTCAGAGCTCAGTCTGGCCACATGTAGACTCTGGGTCAGAGCCAGGTGTGTTCAGGCCTACGCAGTGCTGTTTAAAACACGGGACAGTTTTCCTTTTTTGCTGGATAGACAACTCTTGTTCTTTGTTCTCCTTTCCCACAAAACTTGCTCTTAGACAAATGGGCCAAATTTCAGCCTGTAGGTTCTAACTCTGCCAAAGCTGTACTGCCTGTTACTGCCATAGGTATCTAACCCTGCCAAAGCTGTAAGCCTTGACAGTTAGATACCTATGGCAGTAATACATGCACAACCTTAACTTCAGGACCTGCTCTGTGCTCTGCCTATGGTACAACCCTGGCTGCAGCAGATGACCACTAAGAAGCTTCTGTGAAACCTTGGTTTCTCTCCCTTCAGTATTCATGGCATCTAGCTTTGATAGATGTAATTTGATATTATGTTGCATAACACTACTGCTGTTGTGTCTTATTGAACTCTACCTAAATATGCTGCCACAACAAGTTCCACACTGGGTTTAGGATTTTTTGGGGTAGTTTAGTATTGTTTTGTTACAGGAATGCTAAACAGATCTGATCTCTCTTGTCTTTATAGTGAATTCTAAACTGCTTTGTCAAGGCTGCAAGAGAAAGCAAGGCAGAGGGGCAGGATGGTTGAATCAGTAGGGCACCAGCTCAGCACTTGAGATCCTGTTCTCTCACAGACCTTGTGTGTGACCTCTTAGGTCCCACGCACCTAACTCCCATTGATTTGGAAACAGAAGTTAGGTACCTCGGTACATCTGAAAATGCCACTGGGTGCGTCTGCTTCTTTATGAAGCAAAATTATTTTAAAAACCAAGCCTTTGGCCTCTTTGTGCCTCAGTGCCCCTTCAGTTACACAGGGTGCTGAGAAAAGAAGCCTTTTTTAAATTAAGGTGTCATGGTGCTGAGGACCATGAAAATACCTCAATGAGAGAATGACACAGCACTTGAGAAATTAAATCCATTTTAAGCTTTTCCTAAAGAGAGGTGCTCTTTGTTTCTTGACACCTGGCTGGAATGGTTACTGGGACTTGTATGGTTGGATCAGATGGTGTTGTACTGAATGTAGAAACCACAGATTTCTTAGTAATGACTTAACTATTTTCTCAGAGTGCCTCATTGGCCAGTACGGACCAAACTGCCAGAAGACTTGTGAGTGTGAACATAAGTGTCCTTGTGACCAGGAGACTGGCAGCTGCAATATTACTTATCCATCTACACTGCAGGACCAGTTATCCAGAGGTACGTTCAGCTCTGGTTTGGCCACCCTTCCTTCTGTTATGTGGCACGCTACCTTTAGTCTGGCACAGATGTGATCCTGTAAACCAGTCCTTGTCTCACTTGCACAATTATTAACTCAGTTGGCTCACAATCCAAGCTGCCACCCCCTTCACTGAATGCCTCTCTCTTCTCTTGGGGCAGGCTCATTTAGGGTGAGGCAGCTTCTTACCAATTTTATCTCCTTCACCTGCCCTCTTGTCTTCCAGCCGGTCAGTGTCTGGCTTCCCAGATGTCAGTGGCAGAGAAATCCCTTCTTACAGAGTAAGTGTGGTGGTTTGCTTATATATAAATGTGAATGCGCTTGTGGTACCTGTCCCCAACCCATTGCACAATGCCCATGTTTGCCTCCTGTGGCATGATGGGGCAGGACAGCAATGGAGGGTGAAAATTTCCCTCTTTGGTACTTGCCTTGCATGTGCACTTGCCGTCACAGCTCAGCTGTCAGATTGGTCATAATAAAGCTTTGCAATGAAGTTGGCTCACAGTTTGCTATCTGGACAGAGCAGACCCCAAACTGAGAGCAGCAGACGTGGTTGGCTGTGACCTAATGCTCCTAACTGCTCTGTGGAAGCAAGGGTCAAACCAACTATAAGCCAGTACTGCAGTCCTAGCTCTGATCTCCCAGACAGGATGAAAAAAAGGCAGTCACTGCCTGTTCACAAGCCTCAAGTTCTTTGAGCTTAGCTGTCATGTGTACATGGCAAGCAGCCTCAAACCCCAAGAAGATCTCTGTACCGAGGTGGCTTCCCAATCCTGCCCAGTCAGATGCACAACCACAGCTGGGCCTGGAAATAATATACTTGGAGGGGGAGCAACTAAGATGAAGCAAGAACCCAACCTCAAGCTGTGAGCCTAGTTATAACAGCCTCTGTCATTGCAAAAAAAGAGCTGCTCACTTCTAACATAGCTGAAGCAGGACTCCCTACACATGCCATTGTAATGCACTACAAACTTTAGTTAAAAGCTACATTAATCTGATTGTTGGCATTAGAGCACCAGGCAGCTAACTCCCTCCATGTCCAGATTCCAATTTTCCAATTCAGAAGAGAATGAACGGAATATCTGCCAAATACACTAGCTCTTTAAGCAGCTGCTTGAAGCTTGAGTAAAGAGATAGACACTTTGGAAGGAGCCAAAGGGTCAATGTCAGCAGTGGATTAGCTTTGCTCAGCCTACTTTTTACCAGTTTGGCCCCTGTATTGTTGCACTTCCCTTTTAGCTCACAGGCTGCTTAACTACAAGGAAGGATAGGGCTGTATAATTACAGGATTCAGTAGGGCTGCAGCATTGCACTGGTTTTGTATTACTGGTGAGGAGAGACAAGGCTGGCTAAACAGCTATTGTCAGGCCAGCACAGTTATAGCCTTTCACTCCCTAGCATTTCAGGAGCTAAAAATAGCCATTCAGCTCTGGCTGCTGAGAGCAGGAGAAAACCTCTTCAAGTGCTCTCTGTTCCTCTGTTGCAAAAAATCTAACACCTCTGGTTTGCAGCAGCCTTAAGTGCACCAATCATTTTAAAAAGGATAATGCTTTTCATTAAGTGCAGTGTTTCCCTTTGATAACTTCCCCCTGTTGCCTTGAGATCTATTGCAGAGAGAGAGAGAGGCTACAAAGACCACTGCTAAAAGACAAGTGTGAAATCCTTTGCATATTACTGAAGTATTAGAGCTCTGTTTCTTAGCTTGGGTCTCTCTTCTTCCCTTTGGCAGGAGAACATGGATCTTTATCACCTCTATCTTAGCTCTGCTTCTTGGGATCAGTGCTGTAGGATACCTGAAACTTGTTTTCAAATGCAGCTCAGAGAAGACACAAGAAAGTGGTGACTATCTGTACTATCCGCTGAAGGAAATGAATGGAGAATCCAGTCATACATACACTCCTGCCTCTTGTGGGACATACAAGGAGGAAGACACTCAGGATCAAAGCCAACCAGAAGCCATACCACTCCTTTAGAGTTACGGGCAGGAAAAGACTCCTGCTATTTGTCCCACAGATGGCACAGTCTCTCAGCATGAACAATGGTCTGAGGGCTGCTTAAGCCTGGAATGAAAAGCGGATGAGATACTCAGGACAGCAAGAAGGGACAGGATGTGCTGCTCACAACCCTGTGAATACCTCAGCTAGGCAATGCCCTTCCTTCTTGCCTTTCCTGATCAGAAAGCTGCTAGCTCTCATTTTCTCCCACCTCCACCCTCAAGTCTCCCTGCTCACAACTGAGAAAAAGGAATGCAGCAGCAACTGCCACTTGATGGTGGAGATCAGAGAAATGCATTATAGTAACTGAGGGACACTGAGGCAGGCAGGTGATAAGCTGGACAGAGACTGTTCTTCTCTACCAAAGCTTCTCTCCTTGCTGTTGCCCCTTCTCCATGTGATTGTATGGATTGCATATTGCACCAGAAGTGCCTGGCTGTTATAGGTTAGTTGAAAGCCTTTTTTTAAAGGTGGTTTTCTGCAGGTATGGCAACTGGCAGCAGGCTACTTCTGTCAGTCAAGCTGATGCTGATTTATTAAATAAAACACTGGTAAAAATGCTTTTAAAAAAAGAAAGAAAAGTTGCTCTTAGTGCAATATGCAGTATAATCCAGCTGCTCTTCCTGTTGGCCAGTTATTGCACACCCAGGGGTTCAAGGCAAAGGTATGCTGCATCACGTACTCACCTCTGGCTTGGGAGGGAAGTGCTTTTTCTTTGCCAATGGTAGAAATTGTCTGATACCAGCAGGCACTTTGTAGGGCTCTCTACATCTTCAAAAACAATGGATGAATTATGTTTACAACAGGATCTTACCAGATCCTAAACAGGACACATCTTTTGCATCAATCCCAAGTTCTAAAGCCAGCAGGGGATCATAACTCCTCTTCTCTTCATTCTAAGTGTCTGCTAAGTGTAGTGCCCAGTCTGCTCTGAGAATCTGAAGTGACCCCGTAGTTGTAGAACATCATAGCCTGCTCACATGCTACATCAGGGGAAGTGAAGAATGTGTTGCCTAGAAGGAAAAATGTCATGTCCCCATGCCATAGTTGGAACAATTGCGTTAGATACCACTTTTGACACAGATCTGTAGTGCAAACTGAGCCAGGCCCTGAACATGTGATTTCACTCCATTCTTCTGCAACTATCTCAGATGGAGATCAGTTATTTCAATGGAAAAATTAGTTTAAGATGAGAGGGTTTGTTTAAAAAACCATGTAAAACTTGCTTCCTCTTGAGGAAAATAATTAGCCTTTAATGTGCCATTAATTGCTGCAAGATGGGGTTACAGTACATCAGAGCCTAAATATTCCAATTTTTTATGGACTTTGATGATTTTTATTGCAACTTCAAAGAAGCAAAGAACACAGAATTTTTGTGCTACACCTAAAGAGGTCAGTCTGAATTATTTTGCTATTTCTTACTTTCAGAAGGTGATTTAAGACTTGAATAAAACTTATTTCCTATGCGACTGTTTGAAACTTGAACTTTTAGTAAATAGGAATTTATTTCATGCAAAGAAAAAATGTTCTTTTGCAGGGAACCCTGACTTTCATCTGACCTTTCCGCCCCACTGAGAATCTTTGGAAAACCAGAAATGCTACAGGATCTTGTGATGTGCTCTGCCATTTTGGTATATATATATTAGGCTTTCAACAACTTGCCATCATGTAGCTCTCGGGACAGTGACAGCAGGATGCAGAGCCCAGCACACAGTGGCAGCCCACCTCCACCCTGTGCACAAATCTGGGGGGCACATGCCCCCTCCCCCAGGGGTGCACACAGCAGCAGGAGCCGCTCCA